ATAGTGTGTATAATCAATGTCAATACTTATATACATAATATATTGGTCAACTTTTAATGCTCTGGTTTTATCAAGGTCCTTGGGTTTTATAGAAATATTTTATCATTAACGACCCTCGCGATCGTTTATAATTTTGTATTACTGTCCGTCTGTCTGTCCCTGTGCACGATAACATTGTGTAGAAACGTCCGATCGCTTTGAAAATAGACACACATGTTCTTCAGGATATAAGAAAGGTCCCTATTGTTTTTTGGCTATGTAGACTAACGGGCCAAAAAGTTACAACCCAAAAACTGCCCAAACCTACAAAAAAAGGGTTCTGTTATAATTCTTGTTACAAAGAACATATGAATATCCGGTTTTCTGTGTTAGTAGATGAATTTTTAAAAACTTGCGCATGTGCAACCCAACTTTTGTATTTGAGCAATCCCATTTTTTTTATTTGTTATATTTAAATGAAATTTTGTATGTATATGCACCTCCCACCTCGTATAAAAGTAAAAGTAATGCTAATTCAAAAATTTGTTTTACAAGCTATGCTGATCTGGTGGAACAGAATCAATCCCTGCGTTGTAAAAAAGATGCATGTGCGAAGATCTCGAGAATCGTTCGGTATTCAGTTGTATCGGATTTTTTGGTCTAATATTGAGGCTAGAGTGGGGCTCTGATATGTACCACAATAGCGATAATCGGATCTCATAAAACACTTATGTTTTTACCTCTTAATAATGCCACAGACAAAATCTCAATCCCCTAAGAACTTGATTAAGGGTGGTGAATGGGGGTGGGGCTGGAAACAAGTTTTTAATTAAAAAAAGGGACATTTTTTAAATTGCAACCAGTACTTGCACGACGCAGATAAAATGTGTCGCTTTGGACATAGATTTTTTAATCTATGTCTTGGAGCTACACCCCCGAACGGTACCAAATTTGCGTTTCTAGTTACATTTTCTTCTTATGAACACAACAAGTAAGACTCTCTGGGATTTTGGATGTATTCTTTCTAATTTTGTATTTTCAAAGATGCACCCTTAAACGGGCGTGTTAAAAGTCTGGTCCCCCCAAAATTTTATATTTGGAACTGCAATTGCGGACAGTTTCTTCGTGTGACTTTAAAAAAAAATTATGCGCACTTCATCGTTGAAATAACCTAAACATATTGCACCAAATGTTCGTCTTACAAAAAAGTGGTGCGCATAGCGAATATGGCAGAGGGCAGTTCTAGCGCATTTTCCAATACATGTTGGAAGGCGCTATTATTGCCACTTTCTCCGTCGGTCCACTCGAAGCTGCATCTACTCTTACAGTTTTCAAGATATTTAGTTCGTTCTGTTTGCATTCGGTAGCTTAGGTAACAACCAAGAACCAAGAAAATTTACACCAATTGCTTGCTCCTGCGCCTGACCAGCGGCTGGTAAAGTTAAAACCAGTTATGTAGGTATTATTACATATTCATCATCCTTTATATCTCTTTTCTTGTTAGAAACAATACCTACTAACCTGGTACCTACATTTAAAACATAATATGCGCATGGTCTGCGCGTACAGAAGACAACTGTTGATTTATTAAGATATTCGCATGCATTATTACCAATGGACACACAACTAGTAGAATCGTTACCAAGAATATGTTTTCCGCTTGGCGACATATCGCATATATGGTAAAAACCAGATGTGCGCATACGCATACTGCGCAATGTGCCAACTTTATAGTCATTTCTTTGAAATTAGTAAAGAAAAACAAGGCACATAGTAAAAATTAAATGTGTCATGCGGAAGCTGAGCGATATCATCTTTCTTAATCGGCTATTTTTTGAAATATTAACCACATGTGCTTCTAGTAAAGGCAAACTTATCGCAGCATTTACCTATACTACCGGCATATCTGCACATGCGTGATTCTACCCAAAAGCTTTTCTGCTCTTCCTTTTAGGTATGTCTAAACATATATGTACCAAATTTGGTTCCAATCGGTTCAGTCGTTTACCTGAAAATGAGAATACCGACAGACAGACAGATAGAGATAATCCAGATTTTGTTTGATTCGGCTTCGTGGTGCTTCAAAACGTGTATTTTTTATTATTTATGCTTCTCAGGTATAAATATTGAGAAAGGTACCTACACCATATGCTGACCAATATATATTATAAGTCTTAAATCAAATGTCATTTATAGCGCAACGGATGTTGTATTGAGAACCGCTGACTCCGTACGGCTGGTTTTGAGAAACTTTCACTCGTAGGGAACGGATTTTTACATTGCATTTCAGGTGCATATTATTAAATACAACTATCGGTCGCGTTATAAATGACGTTTCATTTACGATTTAATAATTTATGTTACATTGCTGCGCATATGGACTATAGTTTACTGACGATATGTACTATATCTTGTCATAGAGTAGTATACTTTAAGTTGTGCTGCGTAAGGCGGACGTGAGATTACAAATTGTGCTGCGTAAAACTGGCTACGTAAATACTTGTACACGTGCTGCCATCCAGTGATGTATAACTTCATTTATTGGGTAACAAAACAACCTTAAATAAAGTTTAATTGCGAGACAGACAATATTGTTGCACAAACTCTATCATTCAAGGAGAATGCATTTATAAAAAATAAATGTTGTAATTGTGGGCAAATAATATGTGACAGACATTTACCGTCGGATCAAGTAATTTTTGAGTAATCCTATTTGAACTTCAAAAGCAAAGGAGCCATTCATTATACGAGACCTATACTGCATTCATTATAAGAATAAGTAGTAGATGGCGCTGTGTTTGAAGATAAGCAAAATGTTAAAAAAGTCGAAATATCAAGCATTGTAAACCAATCGGTATGTGCGAGTTCAAGGGTCAGTGCAACCAAAAGTTGGCAACTGTTGGTTTCAACAAGATATTGCAAACGCGCACAACGAGAATTTCTATTGGACAATGTTTCCATTTTCCAGGAAACTTATGTTGATGATGATGTCCGTACTAAGTATATCGTTGTATTCGTAATAAAAACTCAATACTCAATATAGTATGTAATTTTTTTTATCATGATTTCCCCGAAACGAATCGTTGTTTTGAAAATCTCCCAAAGGAAGAGCACCAAAAGTGGCAAAACGAAGGTGTTTTTATTTTTCTGTATCGAAATCGGCAAATTTCGGTTTTTCTGACATATCTTCCGAAGTAATCGGAACTAAAAAAATCCATTCGCGGGAGGTTATACGTATAAGAGGCAAACGAAATAAATTAATAAACATTGCAGAAAAGATTCTTTTGGACTCTGCAATGCAAGCCCCTATGACATGAGACTACATTTATAGCAATAATGGATCGGTAATTTACTGACTGAATAAGAAGGAAGCTAACTTTGGAGTTTTGTGGTTGGACCGTTCAACGGAAACATACTGTACATCAGTATTCAGTAGTTCCACCTGATGTTGGCTGCAAGTAATAAAACAAGCGTCGTTATTGCGCAGCTGCGGAAAAAATTGTCATCTGCCATTTTGTTTGAATCCTTTAACAATTAACCAAAGCTGCACGTGGTTTTGCTCCTTATAAATTAATTAAAATGGATAAACCAGTAGTAAGGGCTCGTGTGATTAAAGTTCTGGGACGTACCGGTTCACAAGGCCAATGTACACAAGTCAAAGTAGAATTTATCGGTGATCAAAATCGACAGATTATCCGAAACGTTAAGGGACCTGTTCGGGAAGGAGACATTCTAACGTTACTGGAATCAGAACGTGAAGCTAGAAGATTAAGATAAGCAACTGTAAGTTACGGCATTTATAAATTGGGAAAATTAATTCGATTGTTTTTAGATTTCTCATGCGGGCAACATGTTACATCGATAAATGTTTAAATAATTTATTCAAGACCTACGACATGTACATTGTTGCTATAATAAAACATTTTTAAGTTCAGTGAAAGTAGTCCTTTAACAATTTTATAACTTGAGCTTTTCCTTTCATATTACTTGCTTTGGCGTTAAGTACGTTTTTCTTAGCCACACCTTTAGCATTAAGTAGTGCGAGCACCCTACAAGACAAGTTGGTGAAACATTTTTGAAGATCTGCTTCTTACTTTTCTGCAATTTCGGATATGATGGTTTCAGATCCGGAGAGCACGAGACTACCTTGTGCTTTATCATCACCGACTGATAAGAAAAACAATGTATCACAAGGGCCAACTTCTCTCAAGAAATTCTGCATAAAATCGGGCTCTGCTTCTTTTCGGTGCAAGACGTAATACTTCGGCTTAGGTTCCAATGATTTGAATTTATGTGCTTCGAATGCTGCCAAGTCTTTTAGGACAGATTGTAAATCTTTAGTGAGCATTTTGCTATTTTTAACCAATTTCTCTACTAAATTTGGATGTTCACTTGCATTATTTCTAAAAATGCAAAAAAGTTAACATTTACAACTGTGTTGTGTCACGCACTTTAGTAACACTGTAAGCTGCTGTTCACGTTCCAAACAAAGGCTTAAACGTTGCAACACTCGAGTTCCCACCAAAAAATGTAGCAACAGCTGGTTTTTACGTTTACTCTTCTCCGTTCCGAGCATCTTGACTACTTGCAACTGGCTTAGGTTTGTAACATGTGTGCCGCAACACATGTTTGTATCAATACCGTCGATTATTATCACACGAACATCACCAACATGGTCATCGGGCAAGCCACTTATGTCCATCTGTAAATTTAATAAACTATAGTATGCCACAGAGTTCGGGATTAACTATTAGTTATTTTTAACTAGATTACATAGAGGCAATTACTACAAGGCATTTTATGCGCAAAAATTCCTACAATTCCAGGTTTTGTGGATTTTAATCTTTACTGTTACGCAATGCTTCTCACTTACATGTTTAACTTCACTCGCCGATTTGTAAACTTCAACACGAACAGGTTTTGCAGCACGAATATGTTCGTTTACTCGATTTTCAACCTGTCGAATTTGAGACGAGTCAAATGTCGGGGTATCTAGGAATGGACATTTGTACCTCAATTGATAATGGTAATATGAATCTCACCTAGCTCAATGTACGAAACCTGTTCCCCTAAATACCAGGACAGAGTTTGAAAACCAAATTCCTGTTCGATCACGGCCGAAATTAAATGCTGACCTACATACATTGGCCCGTATGAATAAAAGTAAGCAAATGCTTATACTTGCAAAATTCAAAGTAAATACTCGTAACTGTCCCTTCATACTTGTCTGTTTAGCATGATTTAGCAGCGCTGCACTGCGTCCTGTCCTTATGCTTAGAAGCGCTGCTAAGTCGCCCAGTGCGAAGGAGCACTTACGAGTATTTACTTTGAATTTTGCAAGTATAAGCATTCGCTTACTTTTATTCATATGGGCCATTGATAGAGAGTGAAACGTGAGTTAAAACCTACCAGAATGTTGCTGCATGTGGTCAAACCGTCTCTCCCAGTTCACAAGCTGTCTAGCGTCTTCACCTTCAATCAGCGGATTATTAACAAAATGAACTGCCTTATCGCCCACTCGTTTGACTTGATAAACTTTGCTTGTGTTTATGAGTCCATGGTCGGAGGGCTGTAACGTTTATATTGTACAATCGTTTGCGAACTACAAGAGGAAGAAACCTGCCCGCCGCCTTCGGGAAATAAAATTGTGTCGTCTAGTATCACTTCATAGCCGTCGACTGTCTGTTCCTTGCCATCAATTGAAGTAACCAACTTTGCCTCGGTACAAGAAACAACTTTAGAGGTAAACTTGAAAGAAATAAAATTAGAATACTTTTTCAAAAATCACCTACGATACCTCCTTCAAAAAACTATCACTCTGGCATTTAAATACCATTTTTAAAAATTCAGTTTTCGAATTTTGCGAAGGTCAAAAAGAAATGTGAGGTTATGTTATAAGGAGTTGTATACACTCTGTTACAAGTAGACCATACAGTAAAAATCAGAAATCAGGCACCATCGAATTATTTAGGATTAGTGTGACGTCATGACACCTTAATGTTGGCAATCTGTCAAACCCGTTTCTAAACAAATTTTATTTACATGTAATATATCTATATCAATATAATCAATAAGCGAATAGAAAAAAAGAAATATATACCTTCCTGCGTTTTTTTTATCAAGGTGTAGTTTGTGTGTTTTACGGTAGGTTTCTGAACGTAGGATCATGAGCATAACATGTTTCATATAGGCACTAGCTTTATTCGTATTAATCACGTGATTGGAGTGACTTGCGTCATAATAAATTTCGTGCTTAGGGTTAATATAAAACGAATGATCTCGGGATACGGTACATAACCATACAAATTTTTCTATTTAGATACCTTAAACTACCTGCATAATTATGTTTAATGAAAATTTGATTGTTTTATTTTTGGAAAGCGACGACGATTTTGTTACTTCATCTTCAAAATCGGACGATGAAGTAATAGAAGCAATAGTTAGTACTTTGGCAAGAACGGAAAGAAATGATGTACAAAACTATAGCGAAATTACTATCCTTAACTACAATGAAGAGGAGTTTATAACTCACTTCAGAGAGATTGGAAATTATAAATTCTTGTACCTATACAGACACACGTAACCTCACTTATTCGTAAATTTAATGTTGACCTAAAATGGACCATCCCCTTTGAGCATGTTCACCCTTTGGCAACCACAGGGCTGACATAACAATTTTAAAACGAATAGGGTTATTTATTGTGCACTTGGTTAAAGTTTTTGTATAAAACGAATGGTTTGGTGTTGACAGAAGTGATACGTCAGCGTCACCAATGTCAACCTAAAACGAGTAAAGCTATTTCGGGGAGCACTACTGTCGTTTTCGTAACTGCCCGTAATATGTAGCGGATGTGGCAACAGCGTGAAAATCCAAATAAACATCAGATGTCAATTGTCATTCAGCTGTCAAAAAGCAGCTTGAAAATTCGAAGAAAATATAAATAAGTTGAATTACCATGGTAGCTACAATTCCGACTTCAATGGATTAAAGAATTTCGAACAGTATTAAAAAAGTGGTTCTAAAAGTGTAAAGGAAGGGCTACACGACGCACGACTATGTATTGCTTGCAGTGGCTTATTCCAGTGCTGTTAATTCCAAAACCAGTGAATCCCGCATTAATTCAAACACATGTCATGTTCATGGTGCTATATTTAATTGGATTTTTTCTGGAACGAAAACCATGCACGATCTGCAGTCTAGTGTTCTTAACGGCAGTCTTTTTAATTTGTTACAGTGGTGTAGGTAACTGTCTGTTTTGGGCGACAATGTGTGAGAATGGATAGATGACACTCGTTCGTAATGTTTCCAATGAACTTCTGACTTAATTATATTTAGCGAATTTAATTTATATATTTTTTTTAAATTGAGTATTAATGTGACCGACTTATCTGTTGCGTACTGACAGAATGGTGTTGATTCTTGTTTTATAAAGTTTGTAAATTATGTGCACGAAATGTTGATTATATTACATTGTAAATAAAGTAAAAAATGTTTTATAGTGGTCACTGGTTGACGTCTTTATAATTAACTTGTGAAGTCCTGTAAGATGTGTTTAAGTGAATATGAGACCATTACTTAAAGCTGTAAGTATTTACGTGAGGTGCTACTATTGACCAACCAAGAAATATTGCAGATTGTCGTAGAAGTTATTATAGGATGGATACAAGCGTGTCGAGCTCGACAAATACACAAGCGTGTAATTTTCAAAGTTCAAAAGTTTTTAACTGTGTGTTAGCACATTATTAAGCGGCAGAGCAAAGCGATGCAAGCTTTGTAGGGGAGTCGATGGTGTCCTTCTGTCCGTGAACACGATAACTGTCAAACACTTGGACCGATTTGGTTCAAACTTTGCACAGTTGACCTATATGCCACATGTAACAAGCCAATTGAAAATGGGTGAAATCCAATGACTCCGTGGGGTCACAGTGAGGTGCTCTGCCGCTTTTTTAAACGCTCTTTATGGGTTTATTATATTATACAGTGTGTAAAGCGATGGGGTATACAAGAGGGAATTTGTTTAAAATATTGATTTATGAAAAACATTTATTCTTCATGATATATTTGGTTGCTTTGAAAGTACCAATAACGTTTCGATCTCGGTTTCGATAATCTAAAATTTATTTATAGAAATCTGGAAAAATAATAACATTAATTTTTTTTATTGAAAGTTGAATGATCAAAATAGCGTATAGGCGCGTACAGACCGAGTTTCCAACGCAAGCCTGTGGTTACAGATTTGGTGTTCGGATTGGTGTGTACCGCGCGAGCCAACCGCTTCCAACGGCGCTGTTGGCGTTCGATTGCGTTCGCTCGGTGAGCGGTACATCAAAGGGAAATTTGATGTGGTCTGGACAGGATTTGTCGCGATTTTAGTTTTTAGTCGTTTGTCTGACTTTTTAAAATGTCCACCATCTTCTTTTTGAAGTTCTTCTAGTAAGTGACTGCCACTGTACAAACTCCTATTTTTAAATGGTGTTGTTACCCACCAACGCCTAGGCCGTTTTTTCTTCTTTTTCTTTGAAATTAAAGAATTCGTTATTAAAAAACCCCGCACTCGCCAGCAGNTTATTATACAGTGTGTAAAGCGATGGGGTATACAAGAAAGAAGTTTTTTTTAAATATTGATTTATGAAAACAATTTATTCTTCACGATATTTTTTGCTTGCTGTGAAAGTACCAATAACGTTTCGATAATCTAAAATTTATTTATAGAAATCTGGAAAAATAATAAAATTAATTTTTTTTATTGAAAGTTATTCTACATTATAATCAAAATAGCGTATAGGCGCGTACAGACCGAGTTTCCAACGCAAGCCTGTGGTTACAGATTTGGAGGTGTTCGGATTGGTGTGTACCGCGCGAGCCAACGGTTTCCAACCGCTTCCAACGGCGCTGTTGGCGTTCGATTGCGTTCGCTCGGTGAGCGGTACATCAAAGGGAAATTTGAGTTTTTAGTCGTTTGTCTGCCTTTTTAAAATGTCCACCATCTTCATTTTGAAGTTCCTCTAGTAAAGTGACTGCCACTATACAAACTCCTATTTGTAAATGGTGTTGTTACCCACCAACGCCTAGGTCGTTTTTTCTTCTTTTTCTTTATTTTTATTTATTAAAAACCCCGCACTCGCTTATTGCTACTTTCAAAGCAAGCAAAAAATACTATGAAGAATAAATTTTTGTCATAAATCAATATTTAAAAATATTCCCTCTTGTATACCCGATCGCTTATTTACACACTGTATATGGGATGATTTAAAAATTAATAGAAAATTTCTTTGTACTAGACTTTTAAACCAGGGCCAACCCTCTTGAAAATATATTTGGAAATTTAAAAAATAAAAAATCAAACGCAACTGGTCCCTACATCCCAGTTCAGTTTAAACAGTCATTTAAAAGATATTTTTCTCTTCTAAAGACTCGGTTTTATTTATAGGTATTTCTTTGAAATTTTACCCAAAGATGATTTTAGTGTAAGCAAACGTATTGCATATTGTAAACATCAGATTAAAGTGCGCATGCGCAGGCTGCGGTTGAAATTGTAACCACACATATTTCTAGTGAAGGCAAACATATCGCATATAGTAAAACCAGATGTGCGCATGCGCAGACTGCTCAATGGCAACTTTCTAATTTATGGAGTATTTCTTTGAAATTTTAACCGAAGTTGCTTTTAGTGTAAGCAAACGTATCGCATATTATAAACATCAGATTAATGCGCCGGATGCGCAATATCAACTGTTATTTATCGAGATATCTTTTTGAAATTTTAATCACAGATGCTTCTGTTAAAGTTAAAACAACTGATATTGCAAAAATTAGATGTGCGCATGCGCAGTCAGTGCCAACTTCTTTATTTATCAAGATATTTCTTTGAAATTTTAACCATAGATGCTTCTATGTAAACCATATCACATGTAGTAAAAATCGAAAACTACAAATGTAATTGGGAAAAGCAAACATATCGCACATAGTAAAAATCAAATCCACGCATGCGCAGACTGGAAAATGCCAACTTTTTTACTTATGAAAATCTCTCTTTCTAAAGTTTAACTATAAACGCTTCTAGTAAAACTAAAAACAAACATCGCATACGAGATCGCATACTTACCTATAGCCTCGTCTATAGCATAAATTAAATATGATCATGCGCAACGCCAACTTTTTTGTTTATGGAGATATTTATTTGAAATTTAAACCATATATGCCACTACTAGTAAAGAAAATCACAGCGCACATAGCTATGGCCTTTTGGGAAGTACTGATCATTCATGGAAAATGCGCTTAAGTTACTCGCCTTAGCGCGAAAACTTTTTTACTTGTTTCTTTTTATATAGATACTTACTGCTTTTTTATTATCGTAACATAATCTGCGGTATTATAGAGGGTATTATGTTTTTTTAACCGAATAATGCATATATTTTGTTATGAGCTGTTCCCGGTTCCTCAGTAGATCAAAGTCTTCTTCTTCTCTGTTTTTAACTTATTTAATTCAAAACATAAAATTCGTCGATTTCAAAACGAATTTGCAAATTAGGTTTCACATTAATTTGCAAAACCAATGTTATAAAATGGAACCAATCCCAATTCTCCCGACGCGCATCCTTATCATATTATTTTTTACGTACCATTTCAAACAAATCAGTGCGATCTGAAATAGGAGTTCGATCCATTTTTGCATGTAAACAATAAAGAAAAATGAAAATTAAAGGATACGCATAAATGAGAAAGGATTAAAGATTCCATAAAGAAATTTAAAATTATATCGGCCCAGTTATACACTGTATGCACAGTATTCACATCATCAACTTGAAAATAAACCCAGATTAGAACACCTACTTGCACTACCTAGGGATACTGTAATTGTTTACTGCTTTGTTTTCCTACAGTTTTTTATTTCATAAATTTTAGAAGACGCCCCGTGTAGGTTGATCGTTAATGATCGTCCTTTCTCAAAGACGTTCACGAGATGAGTGATATAATTGCGATTTGACTCTCCAGTCTCCTTAAAAAGTAGACACGAAAGCGCTTTATTATACGCCAACCTTTTTTACCCCCCCCCCCCACTTTTTTTACGGAAGTACACGTTTTGTAGCACCATGAATCCGAATCAAAACAAAATCTACAAAAAATATTCGAAAAATATTCGATAGACAAAGATGTGATTGAATTCAAAGTTAAATCATTGATGTCCATATCAAGAAGAGAATACAATAGAGCATCATATTACCACTTTCTTTATTATAATTATTACGATCACTAAATGTGGAAAAAATCACCGAAAACAACACAAATTTGCAAACAATTATTACGAAATCAATATTTTAGTTTAATTTATTCAATGGTTTTAATAAGAAATTGTGTTTATTTCGAAATATCTTTTTTAATAATTTCGGTAAAAAATAAAAGCGATTTTTCAAAATTTTGTTTGCTTCAGGATATCTCCGACAGCAGTCGGAATTTTTTTAAGTTTCAAAACGGCATTTTGTTAAGCATCAAAATACGCAACTTTTCCAAATTTAAACTACCTACCTATCTCCTACAGTTTCTGAGATCCCCATGGCGGCGGCCCTCGAATTTGAATCAGCCTGTGTAATGTCGATAAAGAAATCCTAGTTTTCATAGATACGAATTTTGTATTTTTCCTCTACGTAAGAAATGAAATTAACTCATTCTTTTTCGAGAAGCTTTTTGTTTGCTAAGTTATGCTTATTTTCAGTTTTTAACATCGATATTGAAGTGATAAATTTCTGAATAAAATCCGCGCTCGTGTGTTTAATTTAAGTGTTATAAACTTACTTGCAAAAGTAACAACTTAATCCATTTAAGGACTCTTTTATGTTTTATTTATCGTTGATATACTGTGTATTTCAAAAAATTAATAATAAATTTACTATAAATAAATATTTATGGGTCCTAAAGGCTAAACGTATTAAAAATATCAATCAAACAAGATATATATGCAATAGCATAAAACACGTTTATCCATCAAAATTATTCTCGTAACTTCTCCATGTTTTTCGTTGCCATAGTCCCTTCTCAGCGGTTGCTATTTAAATTTTCATGTCGTGCCGCCACACATTTAAATTTAAATTTTGCCTCCCCCTGTATACAGTACCTAACGGGCGATCAAAAATGAGTTGCTGTCGAGTCGCCTTTGGAGTATGATTTCCCATCCTTAGACCATATAGTACATGGACTGCTATTAGCCCTATGCTTTCAATACAAAATAGGTGGTCACGGATAGGGGGCGCTGTAGTCGTGGGTATGTGAATCTCAGGGTAAACTAAAGTCGTGTAAACACCACTCGTATTACAAAAACAGCAGCTTCTGTAGCAATTAAGTAGTACGAGATGTTTTAAATGCTCTTCATTATCTTCTATACTTCCACAAATAGGTATAGGTTTGATTTTTTGGCATTTCTATGCGATTAATTTTTTGACGTTTGTTAATTTAAAGGTTGACAGTTCAAATCGTGTCTCATCGAACAACTTCGGATAGATTCGTTTACCCTGAAACTTATATACCCAGGCCATGTCCTTGACCAAATTTTGGTTGCAATTAGCAGTCCATGTATGTACTGTACTATGGTCAGTTTCCCATCCCATGTAAACAAAATTCCAAAGGCGACTCGACAGCAATTCATTTTTGATCGCATGGTACAATAGAGGGGATACGAATTTCCATAGAAGGGAGAACGGCATTGAGAAAGGTGAAGTGAAGATGTGGCTGTGTTTTTAGTGGAAGTGGTTGTAGTGCCTCCCTGTCCGTCCCCAATAATTGTTTCTTCAATTTGTAAAAAATGTCGTTTATGTTTATTTATTTTAATTTGTAATTATGAAAATTCGCGATGGATTCTGGATTGGGAAGTGACGACGAAAAGAAAAGCCGCACCAAAGCCCAAAAGCAGTTGCAAAATGAGCAAAAACAACTTTTCAGCGGTTGCTTCATAGACGCCACAAGCCTTAGCGACGAAGGCGAATTTGAGCTTAGACGAAGCGATGAGAGACGTCAGGGAGCCCTTATATTTCGCTCGTCGATACCTCAACACTCGATGCTACAAATGCCTTCACTCGACAGCGGCCCGACGAGCGAGGACCTCAATGGCGATTTACACGAGGAGAAAGTGGACGAAACGCAGACGGCGACGCCACACAATTCTATCGTACAGTTAGATTCAGAATTGGTACGGAAAACACCTGTCGGATTTTATGTAGATTTAGGCAATGTCGAGGTCGTCGAAAACCCACCTGCTGCACCACCCGTCGAAAAGAAGAATATTTTTTCAATGACAATCGATTTTAATGTCCCGAAACGGGAGATGCCTAGTAGGCTTAGTACGTCGTTGTACAATCGAAAGAAGAGCGGTCTTCGAACACCTCTAAGTTTGTCGACTTCTCGATTGAGCGATAGACCTAGTAGCAGTAGCAGCAATAATGATGACTGTCCTTGTGAGTACTTCAAGTTGATTGTTCCTATATTAATAATTAAATTAACATGTAGTGAGTGCAGATGCTGCAGTTGAGGTCTGTGTTAATTCAAAATGTATGGGCCGTGAGGAGGTAGCAATTGAAGAGGAGATACCTCGGGAGATACCAAAACCAGATTCTGAGAAAATAGTACAAAAAGAAACTGTTGACAATAACAAGGAACCAGCCGATAACATGTCCCGTCCTGCACAACAGGTGAGGCAAAATTGTTACTGATTTCAGGTCAACTGAGCTTTATAGTGCGCAAAAACCAAAAGTCTTTAAATGCCCAGTACATTATTCTATTGATGGCAGTTTATAGAACACTTTTATTATTGTAACGTGATTTATAAATTCGGGTTCGATTTATATCAATATTTATTAAACAGAACTAAAACACTTTAAAATCCGTACAATTTATATCGATTATTTATATCACTCACACTTCGCAATTTATATCAGCTTTTCGCGCGCGTAGAAAATTCCAGAGCGCCAAAGGCGACGTCATGTCTGGAGCATTTCCGTTACATTATTAAATGGCATCATTTGCTATTGCTATTATGCTATTATGGCTCTAAGGGAGGATCTATTGATATTGTGCTCTTGTATGTTAATATGGTATTACCTCTGATATTATACAGGGTGTAATCACAAAGTAGAGAATTTTGTCTATATTATGTAAAACCAATGAAAAGGTTATAGTTTGAAAGAAAATTCCAATCATAATAATCAAATCACATTTGCAAGCCTTTGTTAAGATGACTTCTTATACAGAATGTTAGCTAATATGTGCGACAAATTTCATGGAGTGTTCTACATTAAAAACACCACACACTTGTTGACTCACCCTGTACAATGTATGAGTGTGATATAAATTTGCCAACATTGTAAACTGAGTCGTTTAGTGATTCATTAATTGAGGATTAAAAAAATTCAATGATTGATAAAAAGTGACTGTAAACACTGACATGTCAAACAAATTTAAAAATTAATGCTTCCATTTAGGCGTCATGTGCCTCATAAAGAGCACTTAAAATGGTAAAATGAATATTCGAAAATATTCGCTCGCTTAAGAGATACAGGGGAAAACTCGGGGGAAAATAAAAAAAGTACCAAATTCAGAATTACCCTATATTGTCTAAATTAAAGAAGATACAGAAAATGTTTATTACAAAAGTTTTTATAAGGATTTTTGAATAATCTGCTGTTTTTAAAATAAGTAGTTCGGCAAACAAGTACGTTTTTAAATGTGATACCCTGTATATTTTCATAAAAAAAATAGCATATTAAATTCTTTGGAGTTTTGTGTTATATTTTTGAAAATTTGAATTTAATATGCTGTAATTTTAGATTCAAATATACAGGGTGTTCCATTTAAAAAATGAGGTTAGGTCCAATAACTCTTTTACTTGACCCCATATACTTATTTTGAAAACGGCACATTATTCAATAATCATTATAAAGAAATTTGAAAAAAAAGAGATACAAATTTGGTTAAAATGAGTTAAAAAATCTCTGAAAATTTTTTTTGTTTTCGAAATATTTTGTACTTTGAAATATATGAACTATTTTTTTCTTCTGACACTTCTCAACAGCAACTCTTAATGCTCTTTAAGCTGGCGTTGTTAATTATTAGTATCCGACGTTAGTAGGTATATGGCAAGGTATATGGTCAATTAAGTGTGGGAAAATTTTTTGGACCGCGTGATATATTTCAGTAGTTGGCCCGACTCAAAGTTTGGCAATTGGCCCGGGGTGCAAAGTCAAATTTCGGCAGTTGACCCGGGGTGTGAGATTCTGGCAGTTGCTCGGGATACCAGTTTTTGGCAGTTGGTGATGGGTCATATTTCGGTAGTGGCTCGCAGGAGTATTTCAGTAGTTGGCTCGCCATCTTGGATGCTGAACTTGCCATTTTTGCGAGCTATCACTGGGGGCATTCTAGTGAACAGAATTTACATTTTCCAGTGAGATGGCAGATTTACACTTAGGAGGCGCAGTATAATGGACAGAAAAATCCGAGGAAAAATCACAATGGCCATTAAAAAAATAGTGCTTTTAAAATGTTTTCTTTATCAACATTTTTAATGGTTTATTTCGAAAAATCGATCCATGTAAATACAGCCTCATTTAAGTTAAGCTTCGTTTCGTTTCGTAGCATTTGAACAGCTATCCTCCATATTCATAGGTACAGCTGGCATGCAGATGCGTATAGAATAATAAACGCTGATCTTTCGCGTTTTGAATTACTTAATGTTATGCGCATTTATTTTTAATAATTCCTTTGTACTTCTTTCAATTGGTGTGATAATGATTACATTGTGTATTTGACTCTAGTTCACAGGAAAAAAAATGGTAAAAACGTAATTTTTAAGTGCTAAATTCGAGGCTAAATTCGATCGTCTACTAATCTAATTAACTTTCATTTTAAACCAAAACAATAATAATTGCTTTTTTAATAATTAATTTAATTATACAAGGCGTGGGAGACGTTACTATGCAATTTGCATTATTGTGTGAAATGTGTTTTCATTTGTTTTTTTTTCAGTGTCAAAATTAGATCGTAAAGATTTGAATATTGGTCAACTAACAATAATTTATATACAGCGCGATTCAAAGGGAGAGTTTTTGAGATATTAAGAAGCGATGCTTTAAGCACATTAATGTATCACACCTCATATAGGCAGTCATTTAAAAAAAAAGGTATCAAGGTAAGGACCTGAAAAAAAATTAAGCAAGCGCTTATCGATAACGAATAATGGATACAAGTCAACCACAGTGGTGACTGATTCTTGCAGGGATCCTATTTATAGTGCACCAGGTTTGTAACCGTCTGTCAGTAGTAGAACATGAGATGTGGGATAAAAAAAAATTCTTTTTTCTCTCATGAATAGTAGGTATTTCAAGCATATGTCTGAATTATCCTATTAGGGTTATTCATATCCGCTAGATGGCGCTTTAGGATAGTGTTATATAAAGTCACTAGATATAGTGACTTTAGCGGTATAGATTTTGACCCGCATATCCAAAAAAATTTAAATAGAACGAATAAACGATGTGTTTGCTTTTTTAATTTTATTTTTTGGTTTTAGTATGTAAAATTATCTGATCTGGAGGAACAATCTCCGAGAATGGATTTATTTTTTTCCCCGCGAATGAGTCGATCAATACCGGAAAAGTCGTGGGTAGAGAGTCCACTAGCCACATTTCGTTCGGCGAGTTATCGAAGTTCACCGCAACCCTTCCATTTAGAGTGTAGCGAACCTGTCGAAACGAATCCACTGTCGGATTCCAGTACTCTACCTCCTAAGAGATCTGTGCAACGATTGGGTACCGATTTGCTACGGATGTTTCTGGAGGAAATCGGACCCGATGTGACTGTGGAAGTTAACGGAAGAAGATTGCGGGCGCACAAGTGTATCTTGTCGTCTCGTTGCCAATATTTCGCCGCTGTTTTGGGTGGAAAACCGTCAGAAGATGTCGTGTCGATACAAGGATACTCGTATGCAGCTGTACATTTTGCTATGTGCCATATATACAGTGGCGCCGCACATATTCCTCAATCCATTAGTGTTATCGAGCTTGCGTCGCTGGCCGATATGTTGGGACTTGAAGGATTGAAGGAAGTCGTAACACACGCTTTAAAAGTTCGCCATTGCCATAATTTTCATAAACCTTGCACCGGTTGTATTTCCGGTGTCTTTGAAGTGTTGCCATTGTCCGTCACGTACGGATTAGATGATCTCTACCAGGCGAGCTTAAAGTGGATTTCGCAGTACTTCATTGAGGTCTGGCCCACACGCGCTTTTGCAAATTTACCACGCGAATTACGCGATAAATGCTATCAACAACACGTTATCTACATGGCACCAGAAACGGTTTTAGAAACCATTATAAACTGTGATACATTGCTTGCAGCGATGCCAACTGCAAAGTGGGCGGAGCATGTTGCCCAGTTGACCTTGCAATTAGCTGATCATTGTCAGATTTATTTAAGGCAACATTTTTCGGCCGTTTTAAATTGCCCCAGCTTTCTCGCATTGAACGATCAGTTGAATACTCTTGCGCAATTGGAGGAAACCTTACTTTCCGCTGCCGAGCTTTTAAAGCTAGATCAAGCTTGTCATACTTACCTCAATTGCCATAGGCAGCTTAAAAAAACGTGGAGTCAATATTTTCAAAGCTTTCTTCATAAAATATGTACGCAAGTAGAAAATTGCATTGTAAGACAAATTGATCAAGCGTCAAGGAGCTCCGTTTGGATGCAACTGGAGCCCGCCCTACGGAGGCGAATTCGTGATCTCAGCGCGGCCAATTTACGAAGAATGAAAATATCAAGCGCTACGCAACAGTCAAAGGTGAGACTAGACTTAAGCAGCTCATCGGATTCCTCCCGAAACTCAAGCCCTGCGATTAAAAACACAAACCGTACACAAGTGCAGAGTCCATCATTACGGCGCAGTTTACTCATAGCAGCTCGCACCCCTTACATGCCCCCCAGTCCGTCGACGTACAGGCGGACGAGTACATTAACAAACCCGACTCAAAGTAGTGCAGCTAAAAGTACCAGCAGAAACGTGCCCACACAAAAACCTGTAGCTCCCAAACCGATCCAGACAAAGGACCCACCAAAACGACCGTCAACGGCCAGTACCGTCACCCAAAAAACCCAACCCAAAAGGGAGGTTCTCAGAAAAACGCCCGCACCCAGCGTTATACCCAAGCGTACCGTTAAACCTGCCGTGCAAAGCTCTCCAAAGCGGACCGGTTCTGCGGAACAAAAGAAGAAAAGTACAAATGTGGATACGGCGCACAAGAAATCGCCTACGGTTCAGCGATCTGGTACGTTTTTAAAGGAAGAGCCGACCATATTGCACAAGCTTAATTAGGTACAAACGGAACCGGATCCGTTACTAGTCCATTCCTAGTCTGGCTGTCTAAGCAGGTTTGATCTCTGAAATTTGCAAAGCCCATTGATAATGTAGATATTATTTTGTTTGTCGTGCAATTGTTTGTTTTATCAATTTCTTAAGTGTTTGCGAATATTGGAAGTATTCTTGCCAGTGGCGGTTTCTTAATAAGTGCACATGAGCACGTGCATTCTTGCATGTTCGTATTCCGCTATAAAAATAGTTCACTTGTCTTATCTGAAATGCAAAACCTTAACGGGTATAAGAATGAATATTTCGCCTCCGCGTGCAGTGCTCAAGTAGCTACGATCTCTGATTTGTTCAAACGCTAAGTCGCCTCTCCCTGTGCGCCCTTCGACAGTCCAAGTTGTAAACTTTAGTAAGAGCACACTGTAATTGTGATCAGTATTTGCCGGACTACGAAGTAAGTCCTACTTCGTTTCGGTTTTAAAAGTAACATCACGAATACTGGATAATTGTGACACCATAATATCAGAAACCAAAAGAAGATTTTTGTTCACAGAGCATGTGGAAATGGCAAATTTATTTTCGGTAAAACTTTTTGAAATATATTCGTCAAATTGCCCAGGATTACATTTATAGTCAGCAATTTGCACATTTCCCTTTTAAATAAAAACCAATTAAACAATCAGATTTAGAGAGGTATCCAGAGCAGTCTAATTTTTAATTGAAAATAATTTACAAATAGATTTCTCAGAGATATTTCTAGTGCTACAAGCAATTGTTACGATGGCCATGACAACCGCCGAAGCCGAACGTTGCTTCTCTACATTAAAACGGATAAAAACTTTTCTTAGAAGTACAAAGTGTGAGGATAGACTAACTGCCCTAGCAATGTTATCTATTGAGATTATTAATAATTGTCCTATAATTGGAATTTTATTCTGTTGGGCAATAAATATTATTATTATTAAAAATGATTAAAAAAATTCCAAATTTTAACGAATTGGTTATTGAAGAATTTATCAAAAAGAAGGATAGACGACTTCAATTCCAATATAAAACGTGTTTGTGAAATTTAGACACAATAAAAACAATAAGTGCTTGGCGAGGTACCTACTCAACAGGTGAGTTTTTTTAAAAATTTGTAACTCACTAAGCTTTTTAATGCCATTTGATAGGCCCAAAAAAACTACGTGTTGCGGTAATACCCAAAAAAATTTTCCGTGGCCCCATTTTTTCTCCTTTTTTTAATTGTGATCCTCCAAGACATACCACTACGTGCCACCACTCATTCTTGCTTGAATTTTTGACTTAAATGCCTTCCACTTTTAAAGATGAAAGAGATGGAAGTGCAGTGTAGTAGATAGTTTCAATAGAGATAATGGCGAATACAATTATTTTCTGTCAAATTTAAGTGTGGCCCAACAGTATCTGTCTTTCAGACTATTTATACAGGATGGCACATCTAAACCAAAATTGAGTTTTGAGTACTCGTCAACGTGAATTTTCAAAAGATGATTAGAAACTAAGTGATCAATGATCACATTAAAAAAAAGTGGAAAAGAAAAAGAATAAAAGCTTTTTCGAGGATGTGGTCAATCTTCTTTTACTCAATAGGTTTTATGCTAGTTGAGGCTGTACACCGTCACTTGTACAAGTTAAATACCTTCCAAGCCCAAGTATCGCCTTTCTTTAAGGTTTTATCATATCACTCTTGTGTTTTGAAGGAAAGCCAATATACGAATTTCTTCCTAGGTGTAATCCATGTACCTACCGGTAACTAGTGCTATAGCCCCACCGTCTTCATCAGTAAACTGAATATCAACATATGCCATTCTCGTAACCTATGAAAGTGTATTGTTTATGAATGTCTGTTAACTAAAATTGAATTTTATTTTTTATGTTCAAGCTGGTTTATAAAAACAAAAGGTAAAATTGTGAAATAGGCGCCAAAAAAGAATAAGGTTATGTGCATATTCTTTTCCCTGGTTTTTTCCTAATTCCTGTCGTTTTATCAATTTGGGCACACATTTACTACGGTTGGAAGATATTGTTTAACTCTAGGTTTAACTACACAGAATTTGTGTAAATGATTTTGCATTAAATTAACCCAATTCCGAAATGCAAAGCTACGCTTACCTTATATCACAGCTTTAGAAATCCAAAATGCAAAAATGGATTCTTTATTTATTTATTTATTTTTATTTATTTTATTTTTTCCAACAGCAAAGCCTATTACAGGAAATTTCAAAGAATAAACAAAATGAAAATACAAACTTATAATAATGTTTCAAAAAAAAAAAAGTGCAAGAAATTTTAAAGTTAGTAAATAGTAAGTAAATGAGATAGGTACCTAAATGTGTTTAACTGAATTTACAATTGTATATTGTTCCTTAAAGTAAATTTGTATTCATTAAAAGATGAAAATAAATCAATACAATTACAAAATTGATTATACAATATGCACATTTTGTTTACTGGTGACTTGAAATGGTGATAACAGCGTGGGGTATTATAATAAAAAAACAAATTATGGCGTGAATTATGCCTAGGAACAAGATAGTGCAACTTCGACACTATGGTAACATAATCGATTAAGTTATTAGCAAGTTTATACAGATATTCTAGAATTTGGAAAGCGTGTTTATTACTAACCCTGACAAAATTAAACTCACTCAATAGGGCATTGTAGCTATCAGAGACTTGCTATAACTAGACTGCGCTTAACGTATCTAAGGTGTTGTCGACACAGTATGCAACACACAATGCACCGCGGGGCAAAAATCGCTGGGATGATTTATGCAATATAATGAAATAAGCTGTTATTTTAGATGTTCCGTTCATTAATCATTCTCGTGATTTTCAATGGATAAAAGTTTAAAGGGCCAATGAATCAGAGCCATTCGAAGAGAAAAATTTACTCCCACCATAGTGCATTTGCGGGGAATGAAGCCGATTTTAGAAAGGTACCTACGAAGGTGTTAAACAATAATGCAATACCGAGCGTTTTCGACTTTCCCATTCACTTAAAATAACGTAGAAATATTATTCCACATCCTTTACCAGCAAGACAACGGCAATACCTATTTGCCTATTAGGTATAGACGTAACTAAGTACTTACTGGTACTAAGTATATTTCCGGTTTTGTTACAAGAAAAATAGCTAAGTCTATTAAATGTTCCATATGTGCAGATGCGATGTTCGCATCAGAGAGTCATTCAAAGCTTTTAACTAGAAAAAATCGTGGAGGATTGTTGCACGTATCAAGCGATATGCATTAAAAATTTGCCAAATTGCTGAAAATGTGTTCAGGTTTTTCATTCAATCCACACCACACCGCGTTGTAAACAAAATGGTTATCAGCAGTCTAAGAAAAATAAATAACAGTTACAGCCCATTTGGGTTTTTGGATAGGCATATATTGAATCAAAATCCGCTAAATAATCATATCTTACTACTTACATCTTTAGTTTTAAGAGTATATTTTCCCATACGTGTTCACCACCAAAATACACATATAAATCAAATTAGGACTAGAGTAAGGCAGTTATATACCAATTTAGTTCAAATAAAATACCAATAAATTCGATTAAAACAGTTAACAGTTATATGTTATCTTTTTTTGCTTCTAAAATTTAGAATAAACATGGCTAAAGCAAGCTGCAGAACGTACGTCTGCCCCGCGATGAACAATTGGTTGCCTATCCTATCTTGACAACAGGCGTTTCTGGTAAAATCTACGTTACGCGCGGTCTAGTTATAACAAGTCTATATAGCCAACTTTAGGGTAAAACCCGTGTTTCCGAAAAAATAGAAACCTCAAAAAACGCTTCTGAATTCTTTCTAGAGAATTTGTTTGAGTAACGCTACCGGATGACCAAATCAAAGATACATAGCTAAGCTTACTTATAATAAAGGATTCATACAACATAATAATTGGAGCCATTTGTGAAAATAATTTGCTATTCCTAATAATAAAACCTAACATTCTGTTACATTCAGAAGTTAATGCCTTGATATGCGTATTGAAGACTAGTCGATTGTCTAGTAATATTCCAAGATCTTTAAATTCATTGGTCCTTAACAAAACGTTATATAGTTAAAACAAATAGGTCGTGTTTTTCGAGAGAAAGTCATTATATAGCATTCCCATTCTTATTATACAACGTACACTACGAAAATTGAAAAATTTTAGCATGGTACAAAGAAAAACTAAAGCACAAAAAACCATTCAAACAAAATGAAATGTGATATGGTGATGTGTAAAAAACGGTCAGCTGTACTGTCTTCGTCTAACGCAAGTAGTTTCTCTTTCCTACCTCACTGTGTTTGTCCCACTCCATCACGTCGTTGATTGAAAAAATCAGATAGAGGCGCAACGCCTATACTAGAAACCGCCGCGAACATAGAATCTGAGATTTACACAGCACTCAGATCCCGACGGCAAGTTTCTAGTCAGCGTTCCAGTGTGTTGAATAGAGAAGGGAAATGCTTAGTAAAAGATGTGACTATGATTTTGTAGTGATGCTGGATTTCGTTTGCTAAATGTACCGTGATGGAGCTTCTCATTGTATGTTAGTAGTGAGTTGGATAATCTTCCTTCTACTCGCAATATTTCGTCTTGATCTTGCTGTCTGTCAGTATCTACTTGCTGGCTAGTAGTACAGCTGCACATAATTCTAACTTCGGTATTGTTGGCTTTGTTCGTGCAGAGTCTACCTTGGACTTTGGTTTTTATGTATACTACCGCGCTCTCTGCCTTTTGTGGTGCATCACAAACCCATGTATGTATCCATCTTGGAACTTGAATCTTCTTAAACTTTCAGAAACCTTCTGTCCCATGAAGCGTTCGTTAACCATAATTTTTGAATGAGTAGCTATGCCATTAATGGCTATGGGTGTCAACTATCCTAATGGATCGAATATTTTGGCTACTGCTGGTAATATACCTAATGACTTCTTCATTCCTGAACTGTGATACTGATGGATCTCTTTATTTGACAGGGATTGATTGTTGCATTTGTAGCTTGAATTCTCCTTGGTCTAGCGCGGCTGTTAGCTATTGCCTTTGATTATATACTACTGGATAGCGCATTCTTAATGATGGAAGAATACAAGCCGTGTTCCAATTCGCGCAACCCAGATAGCTATAATTTTGCAGTGAAAAGAAATGAGATAAAAGAAGAAGTTTATACCAAATTGAATTGCGCATGTCAATCGTTAATAAACCGGAAACTAATGGCGTTGTCCGTATAACAACAGCTGATTCTTTGCTTTGCTTCTTTATTTGCGTTTATACCTTATTTGGGCTGTACCTTTGATTAATCGTGATAATTGTGAGTAGTTTTTATGTTTGTAAAGAGAATGGTTCATAATATGCAATTAACATGAAGGTAAATGTCTTTTGTTGTTTTTTCAGCGTGCCTCAAATACTTACCCAAAAATGTCTACCAGCTCTCCTACTAGTAGTTGCATGGGACATCGGTTGGCTTACTCTTGTGGCTGGTGCTATTTTTAGGGGTTGGTGTAGCAACAAGTGGTGAGGGTATCTACATGCAGAACAGTTTTTAAATGAGTAACAATATGTATTGCATTTATGCTATATGCCCACCCTTTCTTCATTCCTACAGCCTCCAGAGAATGGAATCTTGACTTCATGAATTCCATCACTTCGTCTAGTGCCAGAGTCTGGATTTTTGAGGGACTGCTCGAATATCCTATTAGTTTCAGCGTCCCATGGTTACTATCGGACCCCATGACGATGGTTCATGTCCGATGTTATTGATCCCTTGCACACTTCTGTACTGTGTTGTGAAGCATCCTCACTTGTTGTGCATCTTCTTTATGGCTTACTTTTGTCTAGTAGTTTCGATTTAATTAGCCTGGTGTTGTGGTACCGCTTGGCCATTATGTTCCATGCTGTTTGGTAATTCCTCTCGCTAATGTGTTGATGTTGAATCAACCTGGCGGCTTCTCCATCCACATGACTTTTCCAATAGTGCATTTTTTACTTGCTGGATAATGGTTGGTTGGACTGGATCAACTTCTGAAATAGGTCATGGAATGCTGTCCAGTTTTCATGCCCGGTCCTGAAGATGGGGATCTTGATTATCGGCGATTTTATTTTTCTGCTCGAATTCTGCATCTCCATATTGGCGCTTTGCTCCTGATAGGCATCATACCGCTTTTGTGCTTCTTTGTATCTTTCGGTGGTGAAGTATCCACGGGCGAACTCCATTTTGTTGGCCTTTATTTCTATTTCATCCTCGCATATTTAGTCCCAATATTTTTCGGCCCTATCACATAGCACATTATTTATTTGACTGCTATGTATTTTGCGGTCTTTCTATGCGCTGGATCCTTTTTCAGGTTGGCCAACAGTTTCGCCATCCGTTGACTTATCTCTTGACTCCATTTTCCTCAGGAAAGAATTCAACAAATTTTTCAGGTACATTAATAATTTAACATTTGGAACCAATAATTTGAGAACAATGAACTCAATTTTATTAGCGAATTATTCGTAAACTTGAATAATAAATAATAATAAAAATTACGCAACTTCAATGCTAGCCTGCTTCTGAAATAAAATATTTTTTACTCTTAGATAAGAGTCAACAGTGTGATAAAAATTTCAAGAAATTATTTCAACCTTCAACAAAAGCCTAAACACAAAAATGTCCCTACTGGCCGGTTAATTAAATTTTATACTAGCAAACAATGTAACCAGTAATCTTAAACAAGTAAAATGTAAATCATCAAATAATCGTTCATTCATAATAAAATTGATTTAGTTCTCAGAAAAATGTCAGTTGATTATCTCATAAATTTTCGATAACTTGTGGTACTCCCACTACTTGCAAACACTGAAATTGTACACGGTTCAATAACCAACATAAAGCCTGTACTACAAAATTTATCTACAAGAGTTGTACTTACGATTTAGCTTTACTTATTTTTGCAATATTTCTAAAGTATTATTTTTATACATTACTGTTATTACAAATTTGCAAGTGTCTTTTGTTTCGGTAATTAGATTTACCTCTGTGATTATTCGCTGTAAGTTGCATTTATATTCGATCGTATTTATAAATACAAAGTTCGATGAATTTATATGATTAGGGAAATAGTGTAGTCCGGAAGGTTAATGATAGTTTTATAGTCTGTTATCCCACTTTGTAAATTTGTAATTATTAACGATTGCTTTATTGCAGTTGTCTTATAACAGAATATTATAATAGAATCCGTGTTGAAAAAAGTTTGAAAATAAAAGATGCTGATTCGAAGTAGTTGTCTCTGTAATATCCCTACCAGCTACCACAATCCTTTTATTGTGCAATTTGTGTTATTTATTATGAAGAAATAATATACAATACGTATCTGATAAAAGGAAAGGTACTTTTTGATCAACATGATTATTTCCATGTTATACATTTTTGCGTCGCCTGTGGTATTCCGCTGTTTACATTCGGATGCTATTACCCATGTTCTATTTACGGTCCAAAAGATCTCTGTCTGAGTTAGGTATGTTGGCACAGATGCTCCTTATTGCAAATAAATGGGTGGCTATATCTGGAATATATATCATCTAAGCTTTAGAATGAAAAAAGCAATTTTTCCAATTTATATTTTGGTAGGCATAGAAAAGTTTCATTCCGTTGTGCGGAAAGTCCAGTACATGACCGAAATCAGGATTTCCTATTGGTTTAAAGGGTTACGCGAATAGCAATTGTTTTGTTCAGAAAATAGAGCCAGTTTCGGGTTTTTTACTGGGGTCCTATTCTTGACCCTACGTATTTATCAAGGTTATTCGTTTTTTGAACCAAAACGATGCACTTTGGTCGAATGGTATTCTTGACCGTTCGAAAATATTTCGAATTCGTAAATGTCATTCGTTTTTACAACGAGCGGTATAAACCAGTCGAATTTATGACATGTGCCATTTTTTTTACCTTGACGTAACTTGTCGACCGTATTCAGAATATGTTTAAAAATCCATTTGAGGAATTGAGTGATGAACATATTTCATTTAACGAAACAACACACCAAGAGACATTGCACGTGAGTTAACGAACGCCTACAACAACGTCCATCTGTGGCTGAAACTCTCACATGCACGTTAATGTTAATTAACGCACTTGCATGTCTTAAGACAAGTCTCTTGGTCTGGTCTGGCTGGCCTTACAGCTACATACTTACGCATAGTCATTCTTGTGAAGGTTTTGGCGAGGGTTTTGGTTGCTGTACGATTTTTTGGAAGCGACCAAATTTCGTAGATATTACAAATTCCACTGTTCGCAACTCACTGTTGAGGGCCTCACAGAAGACCGACTTGTTCGTCCGATTTGCACGACGTGTAACTCAGTTGACACGATCGGACAAAGAAATCGGAAGTGCATGGGTAAAATCGGACGTCGTGTAAAATATCAACATCCGACTTTTTGCCTTCCGATCGAACAAACACGAGGTGTATGGAGTCTGTCGTACTTGTTCGACATAGGTACCAACAACCGACAACAGTCGGAAGTCTGTGGGGCCCATAAGCACTTTTTGTAATTTGCTCAGTTATAAGAAAGCAGTTGTGTATACAAACTGTTGTCAAGAAAACCTTTCGTATGAAGGTATTTACTGCTACCAAATTCTACGTTGCCAAACATATCATTCGAATTGAAATTACAAGCGTTACGAAGGGTACACATGAATAGCAAATGATAGTCGTATGCGAATTTTCATACTTCGTTTTAAAACGAATACGAACCAATTCGAGTGAGGTCAAGAATAGCACCCCTGGGTGATATATTCGCACTTAAAGGTTTGATCCTACCATTAACTATGCCTAGTCCAGATGTTTCAATAACCCTTTGTGAGTACTCTTCTCCAAAACGTGCAAGTGTGTGCGATGGATTAACAAAGAAAAACGTTCCCGACGGTCCGAACGCCTGAGCTGCTTCGACTTTCTGCGCGTTGTGGAGGCGTCTGTTACACATTAATTTTGCTTGAAGTAATTTGAATTTTTCCTGAAGGAATCGACCCATGAGAATTATTTGCATGAACAGATTTGTATTTAATTTATTGATAAGGATCAGGGACAAGCAAATTATACGGATTATTTTGTTTCATTGATTCAGATGTGCATTTAATTTCATTAATACCATTCTTTTGGTCGGATTAAAATTTTCTTTCGTATTCAAGAAAATCCATATCTATTAAGATGCTAGCCGTCGTCGTCGTGCATCTAATCCAATGGTTCCCAAACTTTACCACGGCGTCTCCTTTCTGAAATCTAAAATTGCTTACGCGCTCCTTCCCCGATTAAAAAATAAAAACTGTTTTACTACAGAAAACGTATTTATTTAAAAAAAATTACACGTTATTATACAGGGTGAGTTTTTTCATTTTCACTATGGGAACTCTTAAACCGAAAGAGATACAGACACAAATTTTGAAACTGGGTTTTCTGTAATCACTATTCTCGTTTTAATTCGTATTGATTGAAATTGTCAGTTTTGACATAGTTGCACAGCTTATTGACGTAACAACCGGAGTTTTATCAATATCTACACCCTCTCAAAATGGACCGCTGTAAACGCGAGGAACCAAAAGTAATAAACACCAAAATGATTAACGACTGCATCAATTTGCACAGACCGCGCGGGGAAGCTGGGCGTATACAACAAGAAGAGGGAATACCCTTAGAAGAAGTTGAACAACTGCGGCTGGAATTTTTGAGTCTGTTTCGCCCAATATAACGAGTACACTTATTTCAGTTTTAGATATTCTACGTATCGATCACTTGTGGATGTTAACATCTTTAACAAAATTAAGTTTGAGCCATAACTTAATCGAACGCATCGAAAATTTGGACGTTTTGGTCAATTTAAAAGAGTTAGATTTGTCCTTTAATAAAATTGTCAAGATTGAGAATCTAGGTAAACTCGTCAACGTGGAGATTCTCAGCTTATTCTCGAACCTGATTACAACCATTGAAAATTTGGATGAGTTAGCGAAATTGTTGATATTTACTATTGGACAAAATTGTATAACTGACCGAAGAAATGTAAGTGTACACATTGATTCTTGTATTGCAATTGGGTGTTTAGGTTTTTTATCTGCGACGTTTTACGCATTTGCAATCGGTAAATATGGCCGGAAATCCATGTGCTGATAGTGAAGATTTTCTTATATTTGTATCTGGGTTTCTTCCTCAGGTTACTTATTATCAGTACGCTATAATTTTGGAATCCGATCGTGAACTTGGCCTACAAACCTTTTCGTAAGTTAACCGAAATTTGCCATTGTTTTTTTTTCAGTGGTAGATTCTTAGAAAACTGCACGATGAAGTTTTAATCGAAGAAGCTAAACGCAAAGCAATCCTCGATCAAATTGAAGCAGAGCGTGCGGAAGAAGAGCTTCACGTGGGAAGTTTCGTCGAGTTTCTGGGCAGTTCCTATTTGTTTGATCAAATGTTCAAAGACGATACCGAGGGGATGGCGTTCTTATTAGTGAATTCCGCCCAGCAAGGTCACTATCTCGATTACAAAGAGCAATTTACGAAATTCACTAAGCAAATTTTCGATTTGGGTCAAGTGCAGTACAAGATAAGGAAAACGGAGGTTGATGAATTTTTTGCAACTATAAATGGCGCAAAATCGAAGAGTCAATTGTTAAGCATAGTCAGTTCCATACATATTGCTGCAAATTTTCACGGACACATTACAGGAGAAAATGGAAGAGTTTCTGTTGAAGAAAGAGGACATATTTGCCAAGGTGAAGAAATTGCAGGAGGAAATTGAAAATGATCATTGTAACAATGAACAATGTAACGAGTCATTACAAGTCTACTCGGATGAATACAATGACCTTTTACATAAGGCGTGGAAAGAATTAATGGCGCTAGAATTAACTTTGTACGAACAAATGGAGGAAGTAATTTCAAACTTTGAACAAACTATAACCGAGATGGTTAACTACTTCATTGAAAACGCGCAAGGTTACTTCACAGAGCTGAGGAATTTAGAACAGGCCTATTCCGAGAATTTGGGCGTCGAGGCTGTGGCGCTGCTAACATTGGCGGGAACAAAGGATGACTATCCTCTACCAGAAGATTTAAAGATTGTATGTAATTTAATTTTTATCGTGACTCGATCGTAAAAACGGTTTTTATTGCAGATAATGTCCGATAAAGAAATTCTGAATAACGCACTGGGAGCCAGTCATGATGCACATTTGCTCGCAATTGACGTTCGCGAAGATACTTTGGTTGGTAAGGCGCGATCTTGGCTTCACAATCTGGTTTCTGGATTAACACGGTAATTATACGAGATCAAAAGAGGGAATTTTGAGGGAATAATGGACACAAATGGCTTGCACTGGGGGCCCGTTTCAGGATCCTTTGCCCTCAGACTGAATATTTATGTAGGGAAGGAAAAACGCTATAAATGTTCTGGAAAAGCGATAAACATATCTACAAAGGAGACTTCAAAACCTTCGATTTTTACCAAACTTTCTGCCCCACCCGTTGGTTTCCTAGCGTCGTTTTTTAGAATGTTGAGTCTCTTCATAAAACTTTTTGGTTACCATGTAACAGCTAGGTACCTACCTACCTATTTAGCGATTTTTATGTTCTTGCCAGAGGATTAACTAGTTCTGGAACAGGTAAGCTTTCGAATGGGATGAAATGCAGGCTTCCCAAAATGTTCTAATCATTCAAATGCATTCCATGGATTCTTTAAGTCCTTTTGAGGATTTTCGATAGCTTTAATCATTTTTCAGAGGTAGACAAATAAAGTCCCTTTGGAAGAACCCTAAATCTTTGAAGAAGAGCTTCCAAAGGTCAGTAAAGACTTTTGAAACATCTCTGAGGACAATGATGATGTTCTGTGGAGGTAATATAAAGTTTATAAGTGTCTAGAGGGCCTTGGAATGCTTTTTTTTTTAAATTTTATCAAAAGCCTAGCGCTCAATGTCCTAGGAAACGTTTAAAGGATGTTTGAAATCTCTTCACACTGGAAAGGTCTTAATGTTCAGCGGCCGTGGATTCTTACAATGCATCAATATTGCTTCCAAATTAAACGAGTAGTTCGCACACTCTTTATTCTACGCCGTTGCTAAAACAAATTCACAGGATATCGGATTAGTCCATATGATAATCAACTCTAATCGTCGTTGGACACAATCCAAGCAAAATTTTTAGATCTGTACATTCCGTTAAAGCGCTCCTTGGAATTTCCAAATAAACGGGAAAATTTACTCCTCTATTAGTACTTGTAAAAAAATGATGAAAGACCGTCTTTGCTACTCCTGCTTATATTGACACCCATTGATCTTGTAAGTTCCCAACATTTTGAATCTTCACTCTAGATCTTGAGGTTTTGATTTCAAGGGAATCGAATTCATTTCTTTTAATTAATTGCTCTTAAAAGTAAAAGTAGTGCTCATAATTATGTTACATTTTGTTGTTTACTTACCAGAAAACTCGTAGGCAAGAAGTTATGAGAAATCGTGGAAAAGTCCTGGAGATAAATCACTTTCTGGACATCCAAAGAGAAGAATTTGAAGAATTACATTCCTACCTAACACTTCCAGCGACACTGGAAACTGATTTGAATGCGTTACTCAATTAGCAACATACATGTAATATATAAAATATTTATTTTTATTAATTTATACAATTAGATGTGTTAAAATAATACATTAATATTAATCTTCTTTCGTGCCTTCAATTTGTGGTCGAAGGTAGTCAAGCAGCAGATTCCTTTTTATTCTTAAGAAGCGCCAGATAAAATTCCAAACCCTGCTGTACCTTAGGTTGTGTAATAAGTGAGAGAGTAGTTTGGATATCCTTTTCTCTATTCTTTTTAAGATCCTGGAATAAAATACTCCTGTTACACATAATTTATCTTCGTATCATAAAAATAATTTATTTTGCTCGCCTAATTTCAACTTCCAATATTTATGGCGGCGCGAATATTTAAAAAAATGAGAAAATAAGTAAAAGTCAAAAGAAATAACGTCCAGTCGAGATATGTATTTGACAGTGTAACTCAACGCCTTTCTAATGTAAAGTAAACATACGTACACGGTACAATAAGCACATGAAGAGTGCAGGAATGCACGCACGCATAGAAGCATTCCGTAAGTCTCACTGCGATATTCTGCACCACAAAAGTTGCGTTACCCCAAACTGCCATCTGGTTTACCAAGAAAAAGTAAGCAACTTATTTATCTTATTCGTTATTTTCAAGAAAAAGATAATGGTGGTCCACTTTTACCAGTCGCAGCAGTAAGAGAGTTCCATTTCACAGAGAGTTGCGAATGTATTGTAACGTTATTTATAAATTCGGGTTTGATTTATATCAATATTTATTAAACAAAACTAAAACACTATAAAAACCGTACAATTTATATCGATTATTTATATCACACACTTCGCAATTTATATTTCCGCGCTCGATGTTTCATATGTACTCGATCTCGTTCGATAGTAAAACTGCCGCGATGTTCGGTCCGCAACCATTTATACACGCAAGCAATGTAAGTCCAGAACATCCGCGTACATTCTCGAATATTCCTACACAAATCCCACTATCGCGCGCGTAGAAAATTCCAGAGCGCCAAAGGCGACGTCATGTCTGGAGCGTTTCCGTTACAGTATTAAATATTAGCCTACGAACAGTGACTTCTATTTCACAAATTTATAAATTGGACAAACCTCTAAAGGTCCTATTGAAGCAATTGCCCGCGATTCTGATTTTCGTATGTACGTGTGATATATTGAGCGTGTGCAGACACGAATATTGAGTATAGGTTAGAGACTTAAAATTTTTCTTCTCTTCATGTTGTTACGTTCAGCAACATTTGATTTGTTTCGGGTTGAGTGAAGATAAAATGATTTGTACACTTCAAACCGTGTCTAGACCTTTCAGTAGAAAAGAGGCGTTTAAAACCGGCTTCAAAATCAGGCACAAAACGAATTTAGTAGTTTAAAATCCATGATCTGGGTGTTAACTTCCTAAAATATCACCTTGATTAGGATAAAGGGCGGTTTTCAATTATTTTAAAGAAAAATGAACCATTCCTCCTTCTTTAAATGATCAGTATTGAATTAAAATAGTGTTTATAAGTAAATATGATTCAAAAAATGCGAAGACGTTTGGGAAATATTCTAGACCCCCTTCTCCAGCCTTACCTAATTTATGCGTCATAAGCTCCCACTAAAAAAACAAAAAATGTAACAGAGTGCATTTTTAAATTTTTGGTACCCATGGTACAATAATAAAATGTAGGTGGTAGAGTAGCTAACAACAATAATTTATCGATAGATTAAAAGTATGCAGGTAAGTAGTAATTTTTAATAGGTAAGTACCTAGTTATTAACGCACATGTACTTACATTTTGAATAAGTGGCAGAAGTCTTGAAACACTAAAACGCTATACGAACATGCCTATACAAAGTCCAAAATGCAAAAAGATTGTAATAAGTATTCACAAACACTTCAACCATAAAAGTTGAAGGCTAAATTCATCAGGTTGATTGTATTCAAAGGTTTTAATGGGAAGTTCGCCGGTGAAGAGGTCATTTAAATTTTTACGTGCTCTCTAATAATTACACAGGTATCTTCATAAGCACCTACTACCTCAGTTTCAACATTTTATATACGTATACAGTACATCGGCTATACAAATCTTGCACGGATGGCGTTATTTTAGCAACTGTTTGCGTTATTTTTGTACTTCTAAGGCGTATAATAGTAATCATTAAGTGACGTCATGGCCAAAGGCTGTGTAATTAGATTCATTTACTAATTCACAAAACCACAAACACGCATACAGTGTGAGCCTTTGAAAAGTTACAATGGCTAAAAGGATATATGAAAAAATTACCATTTCTTTAAAAATCAGGTACAATCCAAATGACTTATTTTTACTACCCCATTAATCACAACCCACACTGACGTAAAAATCCCCACTTGTGAATTGTGATCTCTCTGGAAAGTTTATTACACGCTGTTCACTGGTCAACAACTATTTTTTTCGAGATTTTTTTGGCGTTAATTTTTTAATCCGACTTCGTCTTTGCAGAGCCATTATTGAGGCCATTATCAACTTCAATTTTTTTAAATACGACCCTGATATGCCGAGATCATATTCTTATAGCCCTTTTTATTCTGAATTCAATGATTACTTTATATAACATATCTTATAATAATAAGATAATCTTATAATTAGAGAAAAAATTTAAAAAAGAAACCAAGTCATTGGCAGTACCTACCATTAGTCTGTAAAAAAATCAGCTTCATGCATCCAACCGTTACCTAGTTATATCCGTAGAAAGTTCGTGAAAAACCGACTAAGAATTGTTTTTTACAGAGTTATAAATGTTCGCGATTATATTTTTTTAAGAGCTATTATCAACGTTTTCATTTGGTGTATAACTTATATTCTCAAAAAACAATGTTACCGCAAGAAGTACCGCAGCGCCTTAAGGTCATATGTCAAAGTCTTAAATGCATCGATAATGCTGGCATATATCACAGCCGTCTATAATTACAAGCCGTGCTGAGAATTATGGCAACACTGCATGGTAGGCCGATTCCTAATTCAACTTGACAGATTTCAGGTGTATTTTATGTGTGTTTTGGGTGTAATATTCTTTTTTACCTGTTTTAACAGAGCGAGATTGCGACAATTTGTGTTACTCCGTACGGAATGAACAGAAATTATTATTCAGGTAAGTTGCTAAACGAAATATATCGATTTGTTGTCATAACCTCTAAAGCAGGCTACTCCTTAGTGGGCCCTTTACAAGCACTTGTATTTGTTCAAAGTACCTGTACAAGCTCAAATATGACCTACACACTACGCGGTACGTAAGTACGGTAAGTGTTTATCGTGAAAGAATACAATAATTATTTTATTAGTTGGTATTTCAGATATTCTAGCACGGACATGTCAAGTCGATTTTCTGAAGGAACCTTCCGACTTATTCCCAGGAGTACACGGTACGGGAATTTGAAGTCTACGGGGCTCCCCTCTTTAAAAGCTTCGTACATAGACCCACTGGAGTAGCGACTGGCTTAAAATCTGCCATTCCGAATCACACCTGGTCGTTGATAAAACTTCGCTGATGCACAGCGATTTACTGTCCTTTTGCCGAAATTAAGTGCCTAAGCGTGTGCTTCACCTCGACCTCTTTCGAGAGAAGTTCACCAATTTCGGAGATCTCGATGGAAAACACGTTATGATGCAGTTACCAATTTACAGCGTTCCGAATTTTAACGTCAAATAAAAATGTTATTATCTACTTTAGTAAATAAATAAAATATACAATATACAAAATGTACAATTGTAAACTGCTTAAGTATCTTTCTTCTGTATTAAAACCACCAAGGCGAAGCACAGGAGAGAGGAAAAATGCAATTTTTCAAGAGCAACAAGACGCCATTAAAATTATATCGGCCCACCGATTGACTTTCGGACAACGTTGCCAAACTTCTCAGCATGGCTTGTAATTATAGACGGCTATGCATATATGAAGGAAATGTCAAAGGCATTTAAATATTCTATCCTTTGGTGCATTCATTCAAAACTTCAAACAATGCTGCGATTAAAAAGTGGAACAGATTTGGAAGCATACCCTATCTATAGTAAATTACGCGCATTTATGAAAGATTCAAACAAAAAATCGGTACAAGCATAGAAATGTTCTGCATTTCCAAAAAGCGACCTAAGAAGATTTTTTATTTCAGCCCCAGATGACAGTTTCTAAAGTCATACTTGACGTATCATTGCTTAGCAACTTTAAAGCACGTGTGTTTTAAAGGTCTAATAAAGGCGCGTACTGACTTGAATGTGCATGCGCTGAGTCGCGACGAACGAACTGGTATGCGTGCGAATGGACAAAGATATCGTTTTTTAAAACTAATTTCAGCGAATGCATGTTTTGTTTCAGTCTGTTCCGACCATTCGTGCGGTTCATTTCTAAATATGGCGGAAGTAATTACCGCGGGAGCTGCTTATGTAGTAATTCACACTTTACTTAAAAAAAATAATAAACGAGACAAGCGGCCTAAACGATTTTGGATGCAGCAGATCTTCAGGTACAGAAATGAAAGTGGTGGGCCCCAACTGCTCCGTGAACTACATCCTGAAAAGTTTCAAAATTTTATGCGTATGGCACCTCCACTCCATTTTGTCAATTACTACTTAAACCATGCACGCGTTCGTACGGGCAAGAACTGACTAAAATGACGTCCAAATTGAGCACGCACGCATGATATATTTCCTTTGAGCGGTGACAAAAACCGACAGCCGATGGCTCGGGTTATGTGCATTCGCCACCGCTCGCGAGAAGATAAACATGTGCTGAGTCGTTGCGAATGCCACGTCCAGATCTGAACGTGCATGTGCGTGCGTCGTGACTCAGCGCATGCACATTCAGGTCAGTACGCGCCTTAATTTGGCGCGCATTTGAATGTTTAAAACAGAGATTGTGATTCATATTTTCGGTCTTCTGGCCATAACTTCGCTATTTGTAGAGCTACAAGAGACCTAGAATGGGAAATCTAATCACCATAAAATTCTGCATAACTATTTGCCCATTTAAGCAACTTGGTATCTCTTATGGTTTACGACATCCCCATTCAACCTGAAATTGGCTTAATTTCCGATTTTTAAACCTAACACCCTGTACTTTTTTGTTTATTTCGATACAAAATGACATTCTGGGTAGTACAAGGATACTCCACTTGTCACTTTTTGGCATGTTTTTATCTGCTTTGAATCATTTAACATATTTGACAATTTATCTTTACATTCTGCCTTCTGGCATTCAAATCAATAATATACGATTTTGTATCATGAACACCCCAACTGATAAGAACACAAAGGAGATATTACAATTCCAATTCTGCTTACCTCGATATCAGAGCCTCTCAAACTATCCTTTGTATAAGCTCTCGCTATAGGTGGTATCATTTCGAATCTTTCAAAAAAAGCATTAGCTTTTTTTAGTGCATCTGCCTTGTCGGTTGCCATTTCATCAATTAAACCCACTGCTAATGCCTCATCTGTCTTAAAAAGCCTACCCGTTGTTAGTGCCAACTCTGTATCTCTAATGCTAATAGTGTTTAACATCGTCTTTATGAACCATATAGGCGCGACGATGCCCAGTTGGGTTTCATTAAGACCAATGTTGAAATTTTGTACCATAACACGATATTCACAGCACATCGCAAGCAAACAGCCACCTGCAGGCGCGTGACCCTAAAAATTACAATTAACATTGAATCACAAGTGGGGGGGACAAACATTTATTGCTGCTGCAGTTGGAAAGGGACTGCCGTAGAGCTTCATCCAAACATCTTGTAAGGCATACCAAAATTGTTTAAATCTCTCCGGGTCTGGCTTGTGCATTTCCATAATATCTAACCCTGCCGTAAATACTTTATCGGAAGACTAAAATATTTAATTACACATAGATCAACTTTCATGTCTTATATACCGAGGTTAATATCATTCCGGGTGATTTACTTTTCTTTAGATCCGTTAGCACGTCCGAAATCTCCGATAGCAAATCTAAATTCAAACTGTTTACAGGTGGGCGTTTCAAAGTAACGGTTGTAATGTTATTATCGTTATTTACAGAGACATCGAGGCACTTATAGTTACTACTGAACCGTGGTAAATTACTTATCAATGATTTTGTCCTAAGGAGGCTTCGCGTACTTGCCATCATGTTTGATCTGTACCTAAATTAAAACTGGAACAAGCAGGAGATAGAGGTACAAAGTGCAACCTATAATTGTTTACCAGGTATAAAACTTAAAATCACAGAAATCTCAAAGCAGGTTAATGCGGGCTTATTTTTTAGTCGAGAAAGCAGCGAACGTCACGAAACTGTTTTTTAACTTCAGAAATTGCAAAAATTTAAACTAAAAGTCTAAAACCTATTTAATCCTATGCTAAAAACACAATTGAGGTTAATGTACTTTTAATCTGTGGTAAGTTGCACAGCCGGCCATTTCTCCTGTGCCCACAGTCAAAAAATAAAGGCATGTTTAGACGATCTAACACTAATATTTCTCGACATATGTCATATGTCATTTTCTTTCGTCTATTAAATGTCAATTATCAACCAATCACACTTTTGATTCCTGTTTAACGAAACCAATCAACACGATCCATTATCGACTATTTTGCATGGCATGGATGGTGCACGATAGACGATAGCCGACTATCAGCATCATAAATAAAAGGTGTTTTATTTATGATCAAGGGTAATATAACAAGACCTTGATAAATAGTCGGCTATTTTCATTGCATCTAAATTTCGATTGTATTTTATAATAATTTAACGAGACATATTAATTTTGGCGTTAATAATCTGATGAAACCCCGAGAGCGAAGCTCGAGGGCTTTCATCTATGATTATTAACGCCAAAATTATGTCGAGTCAAATTAATAAATACAAGAGAAATTTAGCAGCAATCAAAATAGTCGCTTATTAATCAAGGTCGTGTTATATTTATGAAGATTATTTCTTGAATCCAATTATTTATAGCAGAGAGGCATATTCACAAAATGAAACAGTTTGATATCATTTATGCAAAATATCAACAACAATCTACAAAATACAAACATAAGTATCAATTGAATGAATTGAATTCCACATACACTAAAGTGTACTTATTATATATACACTATACTTATTCTTTATAACCTTATTCCCAATTTTCTTTTTTCATGTTCCAGGTCAAAATATCATTCAGTTTTGTGAATGGTGTTGATTCATTTAGTTCACATTAACGATGCTCGCAAAATTTGGTGAAGTGCCTCCATACGCTATTTTTACTCCTCACTGTATTATGCGGGATTGTAAACTGGACCACACCACCATCATTTCTTCGCTTGTGGTTTCGCCTTGTAGTGTACTTAACCCCCAGGTTCTACGCTAACTTCACACTACAAGAACACGGAAATAAAATAAACCCGGCAACGTTTTAAAAAATGGCCACCCGAATGACTATTCCCTCTAAAACTAAACAAGTACCCGCTTAAATTTGAAAAGTGGCACGTGATAAAACATCTAAGGCAGGGCCCCCTTACGTTAGTTGTAGACAACGCTTTGACCTGAAGCACAGTAGGGAAGGAACTTTAAATAAAACACTGAAATTGTGAGAAGTTTGTTTAATAATGATCGTAATTATTATGATTGTGAAAACCCGGAAATTTAGTTGATGTACATTAATATAAACAAAACAAACAAAGCCAAAAGGTGTCGTACTCTCGCAAAAGTCACTGCCAAGGATAAAAAGAGTACGACGTAAGAAAAACCTTGCAGTTTGATTAAAACAGTCCAAAAGTTAATTAACAAAATATTTTGTAAAAGTTTAAGCAGTAGTTAACAAAGATAGTAAATGCATATACACAAGGATGGTTACACTCAAGGTTAAAAGCAAGTTTTTGGGGACAATGGGCCAGGTAGAAGCAGGTACCAAGATTCTGAGAAAGGGTTAAAAGTACAGGATGTGACTCATCTTTGGTGCAATAAAGTCCTTTTGTTGAAAGCAAGATGGAAAACTACATGGCCTTGTAGGCAAATTTGACTAAAAACAAAATATGTGGAAATTATTGAATCGCCACTCATTTATCACACATAGATTCTAAACTGAAGAGCTTTGATTAGCGTAATCTCGCTCCTGCAAGATGGGTAGTCCGCCCCTGGTTTCGGGGTTTCGAACCTACAGTTGGATGTCGAAGACAGTGCACGGAATTAGGTGCCCTAACAAATAAATATAGACTACAGTTTCTTTTTCCACCTTCCCGAGACTGCTTCATTCACGGAGAAAATTGTTAGTAACATACAACAAGTCAGTACATACATCAAACGAATCAGCAATTTCCACATAAGTATTAAAATAAAATGAAAACTTATATGAATGTAACTTCAAGGACAAGACCAAGTAATCAACATCAATAAACATAAATTAAGCAAACATTACACCAAAAATGTAAACAATTAAAAAACAATAGCATAACGGTATCACACATATGATTGCATTGCGGTTAAACAAAGTAAATTTCAAAAACAGAGATTCAAACACACAACAAATATAAAATGCGGCATACAAAACACAAATACGATATAAAGAAATGCAAAAATTACTACCTGCATTAAATAACACAAAATAACAACAAACATTTATGGAGCGAAACGTTCACTACCTCCATTCAAGACCATGCCAAACGTAACTCCCGTTCGTGCTTTCTAGGTGGCGCAGGCAACTTTTTTTCCCACCTAGAAATTGCATGGTTGCCAACTCTCAAAAATGTATGTATCGTCGTAAGCTGTATATACAGGGTGGAACCTTTCAGCCTAAACGATTCATTTCAAAAACTTCAACAACACGATTTTGACGTTTAAGTTAAGTGCTGTCAGATGCACACGCTGTCATGCTGATAGTCGGCTCACAGAATACGGCCTTCTCAGAATAGAAACAGCAATGTTACAAATTTGTATGGTATTTTGGCGGACCCTGGTGGGTGTACTGTGAACTAAAGGGCCCCATTCACATGCGGATATGTACGGCGGATCTGTACGGCGGACAGATCCGCCTTGAGCTACACACAGGCGGATATGTCTGTACACAGATCACGGACAAATCTTAATAGACGAGCAGGCGGCGTTCTCTCACTATTTCAGTTCTGTAGTGCTAGCCCCTGGGTTGTGTGGTTTTGAGTGCTGTGGTAATTGCTATGGATCATAAGAAGAAACTGACAATAATTGCAGGATATATGGTTTTATTTGAAGATAGGAAACAGAAGAGACTGTGGTCAAAACAGTGGTTCTTGAATCGAAAAAGTACTCTTCATATGACTTTACTTAGAGAATTGGAAACGCCTCATGATTTGCACAATTTTTTGGCAGAATATGCTCGGAAATGGCATAAAATTATTTCATTAGTAGTTAGGTGTACTTGGTTGGTGGAGTAAGGCACTACAATCTTTACCAGTATTTAAATTGTTCCCCAAAAATGCACATTTTGTTCTGGAATGTTAATATCACCGTAGTCTTCAAATTTCACTTTTAAAATATCACCAAAAACCAAAAGGTAACTGATCGGATTGTATTCGACTAATAGTCGGTCACCATTAGTGCGGTGTTGTTCCGCAATTTTGTTTGTAAAGTTACCCAAAAGATCATTCAAATCTTTAGCACAGTTTGCGCCTGCATTATATTCAAAAGTAATTTAAACAAAATATTTTTTTAATGACTGTTTAATTGGAGTAGGATTAATCGCATTTCCATTTTGATTTCTTAAATTTCCAAACATATTTTCAAGAAATTCCTATTTTGTGATTCTATGTCCGGCAAACAAATCCGTGAAACGACTACACACGTGCGGATTTGTCGAGCTCGCTGTCCGTGCTCGTCGTCCTGATCGACGGATGGCGAGCAAGATATGTACGCCGAACACGCGGATACACACATACGAATTGATAGGATCTGTCCCGCGTACATGTCCGCCGTACAGATCCGCCGTACATATCCGCATGTGAATGGGACCTTTTAAGCTTCAAAATCAGAGTAGCGCCATCTGGTGACCAACTTCTAAAGTCATGAAGTAATTTCCCCAATTCGATCTAAACCTCTCGCCAGGAAAGATTGCCGGTCACAGAACACCTGATCCCGGTCTAAAATCTCTGTTTTTCTTAAGATGCGAGCGACTTCCGGGATAGTATCTTGTCAATGTTGAACGAAAAGACTTTTTGTGCAACATTAGCACGATCCTATTCCGGAAGTCGCCCGCATCTTAAGAAAAACATAGATTGTAGATCGACACAAGGTGTGCTGTGATCGGCAATCTTTCCTGGCGAGATTGATAAATCATAAATATCAATTGTAGTCGTCTTTATTGTCGATTATATATATTTCCACTCCATCCTAACCTAGCTTAAATTCGTAACGTAACTAACTTCACAATGTACAGGGTGTTCTATAATCACCTACAGCTCGTCCATCCTGACTTACCGATCGACCTCGATCGTGTGCATACAGAAAACTAAAAATTTGAAAGCAAAATTCGTAACATGATTTCCTATTTACTATCTCATAAACGCAGTTTTAAGTATAAAATAAAGTACTTGTCTTTAACACATAACAAATTTCTAGGTTAAATTCTAAACTAAAACTACAAATAATACAATTAGTCAGACTCGTACTCAATCTCAAAGCGATCGTCAATGTCACAGTCAAGTTCTTTACGTAAGTTTAGTGAGTAATGTCGAAGACGAGATGAATCGACAATGCCTTCATACGGGATTTGTGTATTTTGGTAACCGTCAATATCTGTGATGACATACCTATTATTTGATAAGACAGATTTTATTATATAAGGGCCTCTATATTTCGGTAGTAATTTCCTATTTGTTCCCATTGTAGAATCTACATTCTTTATCATAACATATTCTCCTTCTTGATACTTAGATGGTATTTTGTGCTTCTTATCATACTGAATTTTGTTTTGTTGTTGCACTACCAACGTGTTGTCACTTGCCTTTGACCTAATGTCGTCCAAGTTCCGATCCTCATTGTCATTCTCTTCTTCCAAAAATTCACGTAGGTGGTCTATGACCTTCCCACGCTGATCGATCCCAAAAACTAGTTGTGACGGAGTATTCCCAATGCTTCGGTTTATTGTATTATTAAAGTAAAACTCTACATCTCCTAAAGACGTATCCCAGGTATTCTTTTCTCGGCTAACTTTAGCTAATATAGGAGTAAGGGTTCTATTCATGCGCTCTACTTGACCATTCGCCCATGGTGCTCCCGTGGCGATAAGTATTTGTTGAACTTCATTATTGTTAAGAAAATCCTTAAAATCATTTGACGTAAAACATGTTCCTCGGTCCGACACAATTTTATATGGTTTACTGTAATTTGCGAAATATCTCTTTAAGTGTTTTATAACTTCTTGGGTATTTGTGGTTTTACAGGGATAAAGCTTAACAAATTTAGAAAATGCATCAACTAC